TTCACCCAAATCAAAATAAAATTAAAAAAAAAAAAGAAAAAGAAGAAGATTTGGACTCATAGCGACCCCCATTGAGTTTCTGAGGTTGTAAATCTTTACGCAAGTATATTGCTCTATCTTCCTTCCATGGAGCGGGCTGGTAGATTTGAACTGCTGACCTTCTGCTTAGCAGTCAAGTACCTTATCCACTACGCCACCAGAGCTCCTTACAATTCTTACAATTAAATAAAAATTATCCCTTTTCTTACTTAGCTAGAAAAGTAACTAAAATACTGCAAATAAGTGGCTCTAAAGAATATAAATTAACTCAGGGTATGGCTATAGGTGGAGGTCCTTCCTTGCCCATTTCAGCTTCTACTACCTGCCAGCTCTTCTTGGTGTTCCTAGGCCTGTAAATGCATCTGTCTCTGTCATCTGTCTTCTTCTCCCTCCCCTGTGCTTATCTCTGATCGTATTCTTTTCTTTTTATAATTAAAAAGTTATTAGGTTTAGGTTTCATCCTACTCTGGTATAACCTCATTAACCTAACAAATGAAAACCTATTTCCAAAAAGGATCACATCCACAAAATATAAGTATCAAGAATTCAATACATATTTTGGGGGAACACAATTCAATTCACAGCATCCCTCAGAATAACTCAGACATCTATCCAAAGAAATACCTTTGAAGACTAGCCATTAGAAAGATGCAAATCAAAACAAAAATGATACCATCTTGTCCCAGCACTAGTAGCAAAGTTCAACAAGACAGAAAATAACAAATGCTAGTGAGGATATGGAGAGATTGGGACTCTCATAAACTGCTGGTGGGACTATAAAATGGTACCACTGTGGAAACTGGTATGGCGATTCCGAACTCCTTAGCAATCCCATTACTAGGTATACATCCTAAAGAAGTGAGAGGCAGGACATGAACAGATATATGCACACCCATTCATTGCAGCACTATTCATAATAGCAAAGACATGGAAACAGCCTAAGTGCCCATTAACCGAGGAATGGATAAACAAACTGTGATACATACACACAATGGAATATTATGTAATCCTAAAGAGTACTGTACAATCTGCAAAACACCGCATAATGTGGATGAACTTGGAGGACATTATGCTGAGTGAAATAAGTCAATCACAGAAGGACAAATATTGTATTAGTCCACTATTGTAAAAAGTCAAGGAAAGGTTTATACATAGAAGGAAATTTTCTTTGTTGGTTACCAGGGATGGGAGAGGTAGGGAGGTTAAATTCCTAGATATATATATATATATATATATATATATACATACACCAAAGATTATTAGTGGTTACCAAGGATAGGAGGCAGGGGGGAAAGGCAAAGTTTTTGTTTACGGGGCATTGAGTTTATGCTAATGATGGTGGAATATTTTGGAAAAGGATAGCAGTAATGGTGGCACAGCATGAAAAATGTCATCAATGTCCCTGAACTGCAAATGAGGACTTTATGCTGGCAAATGTCTTATTGTGTGTTTCTACCACAATAAAAGGAAAAAAAAGAAAGAAGAAAGAAATCCTTTTGAGGATCAACCACACGAATTGTAGAAGAGGTTTTTACTCACTTGCTGCCATGTTAGCTTTAGCCTTTCGTACTGCTCCTTGCCATCTTCTGAACAATCAGAGCAAGTAAACCTAAAAAAGTTATCACCCTTAAGGTAACTGATCTGTTCCCTCAGCTGACCTAGGAGAAAAAACAAAGTCATATCATAGGCTTATCTAGATAGCAGCAGTATCCAAAGGTTTAATCAACTTATCGACTACATTTTCCACGCTTCCCATGTTTTTTACTCTTTTCATTCAACTCATGCTATAAGAATGAGTGGGGAGATGAGTGACCAATATGGCAGCATTGAAAGACAGAGAGAGTTACATGGGCAGTACAAACAACAAATATGAACCCCTTTGCAATGGACACTGGGAAGAGGTAACTATGGGGAGGAAGTGGAAGGGGAGCTGTTGCATTGTAAATTTTGATCAATGACATGAGACAAAGTATATGTGAACTGCTGTATGAAAAGTGAATTTACTCTGTAAATCTTCACCCAAA